TTTTGGCGTGTCATAAAACTGATTTATGTCATCTTCACAATTAATTAATATGTTCTTGTCATCATCTAGATTTCTTACATATATTCGGCTGCCCTATGTCCAACAGTTTTTAATTTTTTCAGTTTGAAGAGTTCGCGTGTTTTTTTTATACAGCTGAGATTTTCTGTGTGTCAAGGCTTCATTAATAAAGATTTTTGTTTTATTTGTTACGACCTGTTTGGTTTATTGTTAAACGGTCATCTCGATCGTTTAAAACATGGTTATTTATAATATCTATAGTATCAGATTATCTGTATTTTCACCAGCTCTCTCACTGATACCACTGAATTTAAGGCATGTTCGTCTAGAATATTGTTCAAGTTCATCAATTTTATTTTCTAAATGGTCGAGGTGACTAACTAAATCTTGAGTTAGTTTTGGTTGGATTAAGTGAACAATATGGCTCATTATGACTTCGCGTTTAAATAATTCACCAATAAATGACTGTCACGACCCATCATCTTTTAGAACATTATCTAGAAAATCGTTTATACTGTTGGAATCATTTGGATTTGAATTTGAAGCCATCTCCCTTCTTGATCGTTTTGGTTGTCTTGATTTCGTCATTAGTATTTATATACAACTTATACACCAGTCTAGCCTTGTAAAAATAAGCTGAGTGAACTCGCGTGAACTGTTTTCCCAGATACATGTATTATACAGACGATTTTATAAGTCAACGAAAAGTCTCCCTTTTTGCATATGTTTGTCACAGTTAACACATTAAAAATTAATTTAGTACATACTCAATTTACTCAGGAAGTTTTGATAAATCATCTGAAATATAACTCTATTTAAACGGAAGGAGATTGACTCAACACGTCCACCTCAGTCGGCCATTGTTGTTAGAAGTATAATGCGTCAGCTATTAGGGCGGGACAATTTCCATTTTTGTGTAATTGTTTCGTATAGGCACCGTTTTACGTCAATACTATTCTAGTTAATTGTATTAATCCGTACAGTGTTTTTTTGTTAAAATTAATAGGATATAGACCCACACTATAAGTATTTTTTTAAAAACAAAATCTAATATAGGCCTATAATATAAGTAATTTTTTTTAAAAAAGAAAAAAAGATATACGCCTATGCAATGAAAGGTGTTAATTAAACAATATACAGACCCCATAATTAAAGAAAGATAATATAAGACCCACAAAAACTAACTTACATGTATATATCTTTGAACTTTTCTAAAATTACTAGAAATTGGACGCAAACATAGGCATGTGAATAGCCTTTTTTTAAAAAAAGAAAACAAAATGAAAGAGCCTAAAATTACAGATTATACTGACCACAAGACGAAAGAAAAAAAAAATAACTGAATAACACATCTTGAGGGTTTTTTTTCCTCTAAAATTAACTGTAAAATTACTCAAAAGTAAAAGAAGAAAATGGTGTGAGGCCTATATATTTTAAAAAAATAAATTTGGACTGTTTTGTATTTAATGAACACTGAAATGATGAATTTTAAATTGTAAAGAAGAATATTTGATACAGGCTTGTAAAATATAGTTAAATAATACAATCTTATATTTTAAAAAAGACAAATTTGTGCTATTTTCTCTGAAATTAAAACTGAAAACACAGAATTGAAAAGGAGAAACTAGGTTATAAAAAAATAATATCAGTAGTATTTTTAAAGAATATGATCTCGGCCTATAACAGTAGTTTTTTTAAAGACGAAAATATGATATAGGCCCGTGCAGTGAAAGGTTTTTATTGAAATAGTATGCAGATTCCATATTACAGACTACTAAGAAAATATTCGATCCCACCCCCCAAATAAATTAACTTCTATATCTTTAAACTTTTCTAAACTTACTAGCAAAAATACAACTTGGCATTTAATGCAAATCTTTATATATATATATATACGTAGACTCTAGTATTACAGACTATGAAGATCATATTATATAAGACCACATAAAATAACTGTTCTATGTATCTTGACCCTTTTGTCTCTAAAATACTAAATAGTAAAAAAAAAAAAAAAAGAAAAAGAAAATGGGATTTTTATATAAAGGTCCTAAAAGTTAAAAAAAAAAAAAAAGGAGAATATAGGTCTAGATGAATGTATGTAGAAAAGGGCTTTGAAATTACATATTAGGATTAAAAAGAACGCACAAAAAAATTATCTGAACAGTATTTAAATTTGAATATTGTAATGCGCCATTGCAAAGACATATTGGTTGTGTAAATACTGCTCATACTTTTATTATTTTATCATGGACTCTATATTAGATTTTATGTATTTTCTTTTACCAAAGGGCGTGATACAGTTTGTTATTCATAAAGATTTAAAGTAAATAGTACAACATTCTGAATACAACTGACTGATTTCCAAATATTTTTAAAATCCATAGTCAAAATTATATTAAATAAACAAGGGGTGACATCTTACAATTCCTTTGCCATCATATGATTTTATTTTTTCCACGCAATAGCAACAACATTTTGTTATTTCAGAATTCATATTACAGCTTCTCTGCCACAAAAATTGAAAATAATAGATTAACATTTTTTATCCTGTAATGAATATCTGCTGTTAGTGTATATAAGTAATAACGGCATAGGAATATTTAATATTAAGGGGAAAAAATAACACAAATAATAATGGTAAGATGTAAAATTGAGACACACGGAAAAATGGCACAAGTAAAAAGAAAATAATTTATTAAAATTAAATAACAAATGAAAAAAATGTTTACATTGTTTTGATTAAGAATTATATCATTCATTACAATAGCCGAGGGGTCCTATTCCATAAATGAATGTATTACTAATAACACTGGTGTAAAGAGGCTAATTTTGACCTTTTATTAATCATGGTGTGAGAAATCGTCCTCTATAAGTCGCTGAATAGTTGTCAATATTAAGTATTCTGCTTTAGTGTTACAACAAAACATCATATAAAGTCGTCAGTCAGTGTCCTGTTTGTATGGGTGTATTAATAACAAGTAATGACTCATATTATATCATCCAATCCGCTTAACGGTCGTGGAAACGGGGGAATTACCCTATTCATGTACTATGGAACAGCTTAATCCGGCCATGTTCCTCCAACACTTGCACAATCGCCCTCGACTTCTCGCGGCGAGAGGTCAAGATTATGATATTCGATATCTTCAGTTATTAAACTTACCGTTATATACTGGTTAAAACAAATGAAAGGAAATCAAATGGGGTTTAATGTCTTGCTAAAGAAACGTGTATTCTCTTGGAAAAATTTAACACTTTAAACGTGTTCATCAAAATGACACAATTTTTATTGAATAAAATATTATTTATGAACTTTGATTTTATTAAGTTTGGAGTTAGATTCATATTATTTTAGTAGATTTTATCTAAAATGCTTAAAATCATTTTGTAAAACTCACCTATACGGTGGCCGATAAGGGATAGGAAAAATAATTTTCAATTTTGTTAAAGTTTGCTTTTTGTTATTTTAATTTTAATTTTTTGATATAATTTCTTTTTCTTAATTGTCACTCTAGCCAATTTTAATATAATTTCTTTTCGATAATTTTCATCCCAGTCAATTTTAATTTTCACCTAAGTAATTTTCAATATAAATTTTTTTCTTCTAATTTTCACCCAAGTTATTTTTAATTTATTCTTGAATTATCATCCGAGAACATTTGAATTCCCACCCGAACCATTTTTCACTTATTTTATTTTTTATAATATTCACCCGAGTGGTTTATAATTATCACTCAAGTAAATTTTAATATGATTTCTATTCTGTTGAATTTCCACCCAGCGTACGTGTGAGGTCATTTTATCTAGCCTCGCTTGTACGAAAAATCGCGTTTTTAGCTTGTGAACCGTCTAGAGTTCACAATTTTTATCAGATTTAAAAATCCGGTTAGTATATCACCGATGCACCTAAATGATGGTAAATTTTAATATAATTTCTATTCTGTTGAATTTCCACCCAAAATCGCAATTTTTATTCAAATTTTTAAAAACCGTTTTAATATATCACCGTTACACCCTAATGATGCCCAGGTTCGAATTTTGGGAAAATCGGACCGAAATTGCCAGACAAAATGACAGCTATGGTGTAAAAGTATGGAATTCCAAAATTGTGAACACTCTAGAGGTCACAATTTTTATCTGATTTTGATGAAACATCCTGGATTATGTCTCCAAATTTTACGGGAAAAAAACACGTTTTTAGCTTGTATTCGTAAAAGTCGCAATTTTTGATCCTATTTTAAAAAACGTTACACCGTAATGATGACTGAGTTCGAATTCGTGATAGTTGGACCGAAACTGCCGGAAAAAACGGCCGCTCCTTGTACGCAAATAGTGTAAAAGTATGCAATTCGAAGGCTGTGGACACTATAGACTCTAGAAGTCGCATTTGTTATCCCATTTTGATGAAACTTAAAATATATGTTTATATCTCTCAGACCTTGGCGCTTTTCTATATTTTCGCATATCAGACGCTACGTTCCTTGATTATGGCCCCTGATTTTACGAAAAATCTCTGTTTTAGCATGTAGATCCTCTAGAGGTCACAATTTTTATCCGATTTCATAAAACGTTTCAATATATCACCATTACATTGGTTCGAATTTCGTAAAAATCGGACGAAACTGTCGGATGGGCGCTCCTCGTACGCAAATAGTGTAAAAGTATGTGATACCAATGCTATGCTGTGTTATCAATATGACTATGCTCTAATTCTTCCTGGCCATAGTTACCTCTCCTTACTGAAAACATTCTGAACGCAAAGTTTTCTGGAATTTAATTTGAAGCATTGAGAACATATCAGAAATGTCATACCCATCACCTTCCATTTCAGAGATACCCCACCATCTCCCCAGTCCTGCCTGTGATTTTAAGAATTCAATGTCAAGCATTTTGATAACCAGGGGACGAGAAATATCGATTCTGCCTTTCATCTCTTGTTAAATGTTGGAAGATATAGCGAAATGTTTGTTTGCTTTGTACAGTTTCAGATAACCAGATAATCATGGCGTACTCGCAGGAAGCGACAAGCAAGAAGAGAAGTAAACAAGGTCGCATGGCCAGAGATGACATGGCAGAAATGAATATACCACAAAAGGGTAATTTCTGATGAACAATGTGCTTTTTATTGAATCACCATAAAATGGCTTTCTAGTCCCCTTTCTTGTATATAATTTTAATACACCCACTTCACCCACATGAAAATGTGGTCGTATTGTCATCCGTCCATCAGTCCGTTCGTGTGTCGCTTTATTGAACCCTGTGAAAGCTCTAACAACTAAAGTTATCATCCGATCTGTATTTAATTTACATGTACTATTTCAATTTGTAAAACGAAGATGCCTATCGCATTTAAGCAATTTCTGTTTATAACTCTTAGAGTTATGGCACGTGTTTCACTTTGTTGAAACTTGTGAATGCTCTAAAGACTTAAGTTATCTTCCGATCTATATTAAATTTACATGCTTTATTTAAATTAGTAAAACGAAGAAGAGTTTTGAATTTCACCAATGTCCGTTAATGCCTTACAGTTATGACCCTTGTTTCACTTTGATGAACCCTGTAAATGATCTAACGGCAGAAGTTATCATTAGATTTGCAGAAAATGAATTCAGTGGCTTGTAAATTCTCCCATTACCTACAAAAGAATACATATGCGTCAACCCTTGCTGACTTCTCGGATGATTTAACTGCTGTGGGCGTATGTTTCATATTTTCAAATCGCAGCCTATTTTTGTTTTTTGTAAACTAAAAAGGCTGTTGTATTCAGTTTGTACTACATACATACTACATTCAAATGTGGTCGTATATTGTCGTCTTCCCCGTCCGTTGGTCCATTCGCTCACAATTGCTGGTGGACGCTCTAGAGTATTGAGGCTTCTATAGGCGGTAAATATCCGATTGACTTCAAATTTAGACTATTTCAACAATTTCCGATAATTACTGCCAGAGTTATGGCCATTGGCCATTGATCACTATGGCAAATCATATGGACGCTCAAGAGACTGAAGTTAATATCCAACTGAGTTCATGTTTAGGTCATACAATTTGCAACGATTTTGATAATTACTACCAGAGTTATGGTCCTTGATCACTTTGCAAAAATGACGTGAAATCTCTCCTAGAAAAGAGCCATTGATAACTTGAATAGCTAAATTCGTGAAATTAAATGTGTATATTAAACGTTAGCATGGGGCAGAACTAAATGCCAATGAAGGTCATTATGTAAGATTTAGATAAAGAACTGGACGTCGTCACTATAATAGTTAAAAAATGAATATATTGAAATTTTCATTCAAATTACTTTATTCTGGGCGAAGATATTAGCCTTTGAATGTTTGACAAGATGTGTGCAGAGGTTGTAGCCACCACACTGGTTGTTCGAGGCTTACCCTTCCTTCGCCATTTTAAGATTTAATTTACTGAAAATAGGACCAATATGATGTCATCGATAGTTGATTATGGTTTTGTCGATTAGCTCTTGCATAATGCATGTTTAATGGGATGTTGCTGTTAAACAGATTTAAGTGTGTTGTAATTGCCGACACAGACAACAAATATGCTGCAACCCTTGTTCACTGCAACACTATTATAGATTGATGTTTTCCAGAAATTAACATTAAGATTATATGACATGGTAACATCAGAAATACGATGTCATAACTTCAGGGATAATATCTCGAAAAATAGGCATTACACTGCAAACATAATTAATTGAATTTTAGTTTGTTAATAGTAATCGTTATTATCTTAACGACTGATAAACAAACCTTGTTGTTATAATATTGTTATTATAGACACAGGTATAATATTGTGGTGTTTATTTTCTCAGTAGAATACCAAGAGAGCTCACCCAATGCTGAGAGGAGAAACGTTATACCTAGAAGAGAGAAGGGGAAGATGTTACCTGAAGATGAACATAGGATAATATCTAACTATGTGTATTTAATCGAGAATCTGAGACCTCTACAACCATTATTAGACAGTTTAACTGAAAAATTTGTACTAAATGAAGATGACTTGGAAGTAATCAACAGAGCGAAATCTGAGGGTACCAAGGCAATGATACGTAAATTTCTAGATACTCTTCGGACTTGTGGTACAAATGCATATTCTAAATTCATCCACTGTTTAAATAAATTAGAATATAGAGCAGTAGCCGAACAATTAGCATCAGGTAAGTAAAATAGCACAATGTACATTTGATACGATTATTTACATATTTCAGTTGGCTTTTTCATAACTAAATACCATGTAAAAAGCGGAGAGTATTAAATGCATCTGTTCGTCTGTTGATTTTGGCAACATATTTCGCCTTCCATAATGATAATTTTCTGTCCGTTCACAAGCTCCAGAGAATATTTAGCTGATTGAACTAGATTTATACACGGTGTTTAAAGTTATGAGATGAAGAAGACTATTCGATAATTACTACGTTAATTATGGCCCTTTGAAAAATTTTGTGGACTTTCTAGAGGCTACAGTTAATATCCATTTGATTTAAAATTTATATACAATGTTTAAAAGGTTATTCAATAATTACTGGCAGAGTTATTGTCCTTGAAACTTTTGAACAATGTTGTGCATGTTTTCGAGATGAAGTTCATTCAAAACCTGAAAAGCTTTTTAATTTACAATAGTTAATGTTTTGTTCGAAACGTTGTCATGGGGCATAACTAGAAGCTAAACAAATTGTAATGATTTCTGATAATTGCTTAAAATGGGGTTGTCACTGGTAATCAGTTTCAAATATTTTAGGTATGTTTCGTTATCTGGCAACCTATCTTTGTTTACATGGTACGGTTCTGAACTTACTAATATGTATGTTTCTATTACAGATACTTATGATACATATGATCACTCACTAATAGATGAAGAAAGCAAAGGGCTGACAATTCCAGGTATGTCATTACGTTTTAGCCATTTTAATTAATAATTGAAGAAATGGCAAGGAATTTTCGAGTCGGACTGTTTTTAAGCCGGGGTGTATATCTTTCACACAGGCTTTACTGTTAGCTTTCACATGTTGTGAAAAACCATGGTCAAGGGTTATAAATATAATTAAAATATAGTTATTTATAAGAATACATATGCACGTGGTCCACATTCATACCAGGCACGGTGATTATTGTTGTCAATGTTAGGCAATAATAATGATAAACCATTATGACAATATAAATTAATAATGGCATCGTGGTGTTGATATACCATTAATAACAATATGGTGCAGATAAACCAAAACATGATCACATGCATTTGATTAATACGAATTAAACAAGTATTAACTACGTAGACTAAATCTATAAATGGTACTGATTATCTACAACACAATGATGGCAAAATGTAAGCGAAAAAGCCCTGATTTACAATTTCGTAATAGTTAGTTTTGCATATTGGCACAACCAGATAAAAAGTCTATGGTATGACTTTTGTAACAATCTGGTTATAAGCGTGCAATAAATTTAAACGAAATGAAATGGGGTTCGACACCTTACTTTTCTGAGCTATTGAAGACGGACATACCTGATACAGTGTACTGTGAAGGAAATTTGGCCCGGTCAGAATCTTTTTTACTGAGCCTACGCCGCACCTGGTTAGCCATGGGGCATGACCCTCCCCCCCCTCCTTTATATATTATCCTGATTTAAGGCAATATTTTATTTTGAGATATATTATTGTGGTATTAATTTTCCGTAAAGATCATCTGGGTACATTATTATGTAAAAGTTGAGTAATAATAATAATCCGCTACTTTGAATTTAAACATTTCAAATCCAGTCAATGACCAAACAGACTTTACTTTGCTTAAGTACAATTCAGTACGTAACTCCAGAATGATAACAAATAAAGAAAGCAGTGATATACTAGAATGGAAATATACATTTTTAAAAATGACTGATCTGTTCACCGACAAGTTTATAGAAAAATAGCACATGACGACGATGTTTTTAACGGTCTAATTTATAGAGATACTGTAACAGTGTTAAATCTTCAAGAAATAACTTCTTTTAATGCCATAAATACTTTGATTGTTCCAAACATATAATGTACAAGACGACGTAGTTAATGCCCTTAGTTAGCTTTTGTTTTTAGGAGTTATCTAAACATTTATATATTACAGTAAATAGAACATGTAAAATCACCAATTTACCGGATGCTGTAGCAATAGAAGGACGTAAAGGGCTTATATTTACTGTAACTGGTGAAACATCCATTAATCAACCACTCAAATTTAAATCGAGTTGGCATCCCGAAGAAGCTGAACAATATTTCATTCTCTATCCTGAACGTATGTATACGATTAAAATATTTGGAAAGATTATCAAAATGAGGGCCTCAGAATATGTGCTTAATTTATTATTTCTATGGAAATGTCAAACAAGTGTCCCTAATTCTTTGCAGGGCTCTTAATGGTTGTTTGAATAAATAAAGGCAAAAATAACTAATTATTTGACTTTAGATGCTATATGTAAACTGTTGACTGTGTATAAGAACTTTCAACTTCCAACTTATCAATTTGGTTTTCTAGACTTTTTGAGACCGATGAATATAATTCGAGTAAAAAAAATGCTGTAAGAAATAGATACTATATATATACATTTCTTGATTTACGTTCAACCGATATATATTGGATTGATATCTGTCGGTTTATTTGGTACAATTTAGCTGTTTCTGTCCTACAATCAAATGATACTAGAGTGATTGATAAATACTTGTTACTATATATAGATTAATATTTTACATTGTAGACAATGAATTACGTGTACATGTTACGTCAGATCCTGTGTTTACCTGTAATTGTGTGACTCTAACAGTTACAGTTAATGACGGAATGAGTGATTCACTTCCAGCTAACCTAGAAATTGTCAGTAAGTTCAATATTTGTTCTAAGAAAGCATTTGTTTAGAAGCTTTGTTTTGTATTTCCAATCTGACTGATGGATTACAGATACTGGAAATAAATATTTTAAAGATTATACTTCAGTCCCATTATGTGGGATTTGTACTAAAATTCTGTACTATTATTCTACATGTTCATAAATATGAATGGATTTGTTTCTTAACACATGCATATTTTAATACACCCACATGTTAATATAGTCCTTTACACCCACTTGTTAATATAGTCCTTTATTTTAATACACCCACATGCTAATATAGTCCTTTATTTTAATATACTCACATGTTAATATAGTCCTTTAATTTAATACACCCACGTGTTAATATAGTCCTTTATTTTAATACACCGACATGTTAATATGGTCCTTTATTTTAATATACCCACGTGTTAATATAGTCCTTTATTTTAATACACCCACATGTTAATACAGTCCTTTATTTTAATAAACTCACATGTTAATATAGTCCTTTATTTTAATATACCCACGTGTTAATATAGTCCTTTATTTTAATACACCGACATGTTAATATAGTACTTTATTTTAATACCGCGATGGCCCCATATGTTGAATTCAGTTATTTATTGTGTTAATGCCGAATTACTAGCTGTCTTCATTAACCCAGTCGGTAGAGAAAAGTAGGACGTTAAAACCCATTGAAGGCAATGGACAGTTTATTACCATATTTGTATTGCCCACAAGAACTGATTAGTTCCTGTGGATAAAAAATATGAATTTATAAACATACTATTTGTATTTATGCTAGATGCCCTCATAAATAAAACAACGAAAGAAGCTGAAAAGGGTGATAAAACTAGAATCCGATGAGAGTTCTAACCAGGGTATAGGGGTGTGTGGCTATGTGCCCTTCCTTCCGAAAAAGTGTCCCCGAATTTCGAATGCCAACACCAATGTTATCATATTCCCATTACCCCAATGATAATATTGTGCCCTCTTTTCCCGCTGCCCTTTCTTTGTTCCAACCAGGTCGTTAAGTACTTGGGGTTTACTATGTCCATGTTCAGATCTTCAGACCTTAATCATAATCCCTCAACCAAGTGTCAAAGTATGGTGTGCTTGGCTCAGCTATTCCTCAGATCAAATCTAATATGTGCCACAGTTTCATCCCTCACCTACCCCCTGAGTTTGGTCTGCCTACCCTACTTCCGAGACCTGAACACGCCTATGATATTTGCTCTCAATTTCAGAAGCGGAAGTGCGTGTAATATTAATTGGGAAAACTGGTGTTGGTAAAAGTGCCCTGGGGAATAGTATATTGGATTTATCAAAAGATACTAGATTTAAATCTGAATCAAGCGCTGCCTCGGTTACACGGTTTAACTCATGCAAACATCGTGTCAGAGAGGTAGACGGTGAAAAGTATCTTTTCAAGATACTTGATACTCCGGGGTTATCTGATACCAAAATTTCACACCAAGACGTAGCAATGGAGCTTGCCAAAAGTATAGATGGTCTGGCACCAGGACCCCATATATTTTCGTTTGTGTTACCTATTGGTAGGATTGATAGACATGTTTTGGAAACCATAGAACAATACACAGATTTATTTGGGGAGTGCCTAAAAACATATGGAGTGATTATTTTTACAAAAAAAGATGCACTTCAAAAAAGGTCATTTACAGAATATTATAAAGATGCAAATCCAGAATTTAAAGAATTCCTGGAAGATTACTGTGATAATCGACATTCTCTTATCAACAACGAAAACCCTCAGCCTGATGATGTTCATGGTATTTTAAGACTCTTGCTGGAAACAAAAAGAAACAATAACGGCGACCACTACAGAAATACAATGTTCGAGGAAGCTAAGAAGTTATACCAAGACAAGCTCCAGAAGATAGAAGAAGAGAAAACTAAAGTAGAGCGGGAACTTAAACAACACCTTGAGCTGCAAGAAAGAGATTTTAAACAACAACTCAAGCTGAAAGAAAGAGAACTCAAACAACAACTCCAGCTGAAAGAAGAAAATGAGGAGACATTTAAGGAGCGAGAGAAGGAATTTAAGGCGCGGGAGAAGAAATTTGACCAAAGAGAAACTGAGCTGGAGAAGAAATTTGACCAAAGTGAAAAGGAGCGTAAAGCATTGCGGGAAGAACTCAAGAAGTGGAAGCCATCGGATCAAGATAAAGATGTCAACTCTGTGACAGATCAACAACCACAAATCGCCAAAGTGACTCATGCTGATCCACCAGGACAAGAGATAGATTTGAAGACTGCGACAGATTCACAACAACAAATCTCTGAAGTGGAAAAATTAAAACAGACGGTAGATATTCGAAACATAGATTTCGTAAAGCTATGTAATCTTCTTTTACAAGATGGCTATTTGAATGAAAAAGACAAAGAGGATATAGTTTCATCAGAAGCCTCAATCAATACAATGGATACACTAATGGATATATTACATAAAACAAACAACAACAAGGCCTACATCATTGTTATTAACCATTTAAAGAGTGGAACTACCATGGAAACCACGAACACAACACAAGGTAAGTTTAAAATCATCACCACTTACATATATATTATAATATCTAGCAAGATATCATGTGATAGATGTCGTACAAAAAGCAGGATGTGCATTCATTTCTAAAACCCACAAACTCAGTTAAAAGACAACCATACTTTTTTTTTACAATAAAGCAATTGATTGATTAATTGATTAGGTGCTAACGAGAAAAGTTATTGTCCAATCTGCCAAAAATATGTAGGCCATATATATATGCATTATTCAAATTAGTGAGACGAACAAGCCTATGGAATTTCAGCAATGTCCATGAATTATTTCCAGAGTTATGACTCTTGTTTCACTTCGTGGAACCTTAAGACTACTCTGGTGACGAAAATACTCATCAGCCAATCTGTTTGAAATTGATGAGCGAATTATTTAAATTAGTGAAACAAATTATATTTAATTTGAATAACCTCCTCACAGGTGGGAAGATTTACCCAATACTACCAATACCACCCGAATATCACCACATACATGTGCTACAACATAATGGTGCAAAATAAGCATATTAGCCTACTTGATTTTTTTTAGAAAATAGCGAGTTATATCGCAGGACATGTACTTCCAATGCTATTACCGATGTCTGTGGCTGTTCCATCCCCCCTCCCCTATTACCCAAAACAAGCAAATAATAACCCGGTACTACCAAATACTACTCAATATTATCAAATAAAACACCTGTGTCAATCAATCCAGACGACTTTGAAAAATTCCCTCTTCTCAAATTTTCACTGATGCTTCGAATAATGTCACTATTGAACAAATTGTCTGGTATATATTCACAGGTGACGATGTCGCTGTGATGTCATTACCATCTAAATGAATAAACGCGATCTCCGATTTCCTCCCACTGCTAAAGACCTCTATACGCGCAGGCGAATTATTGAAATATATCCCCGAAATGACCTAGTTTGTGTCGAGTAACGATTTTAATTCTGAAAAAAATGAATATGTGAACTTTTATCTCTAATGGTATGGGTTTTTTTTTGAATATGTGAACTAGAATTAAATTGTTTCTATGGGATTTAGTAAGTGAACAAGAAATACAAAGGACATACTTCTATTGAATACAATTAGTACTAAGTATTACTGATCTTTGATTAAAATCTATATCAGTTCAAATAGCCACCTTGTTTAAACTTACATGTCTTAGATGGAGTTTAATTTAAAAACAACATTTTTGTTTGTAATTGTTTAAACTTACATGTTTTAGGTGAAGTTTAATATAAAAACAAAATTCTAAAACGTCGTTTTTATTCGTAAAACTGATTTAAATTTTGTGATTTTTGTTAATCTGCTGGATTAAATATATAAAGTTATTATTCAAATTTGAAATAAAAAGATTGAGATATAGTTGACCATTACATAATATTTGACTTTTGTCAGATATATAATATTCAAATAAAAGGATTGAAATATAGTTGACCATTACATAATAATATTTGAAATGTAATCTTTCAGTTACTCATTACTTTTTAATGTCCTATTATCCATTAGATTTGCAATACTTCAAACTGTGTAATGATTATATTTCATTTCCACTGACATCACAATTAACCCTGGCCTGTTCTACATACTGCAGTGTCAAAGATACCTTTTTGCAAATTGTTGAGTGTTCAAATGAAAACAAAATCAGATCAATAAATTGTTAAATAACGTTGGTATTTAATCTAGTTCCGCTGGTATTATGAAACACTTTTGTAGTCAATTACTAACTTACCACAGTTCATTTTGTAATTGAATCATTTTATATTGAAGATGACCCTAGACATGATACAATGGTACAGACAGATCAAAGTGACAGAATAAAAACAGAAACAGACACTGAAAATAAAGCGAATACCAATATTGAAGAAGCGGCTAAACCCGATATATCTGGTAAGTACAGACAGTAGCATGTTGGTGATTAGAACTCTGTGATTCCTTTAACTCGGGTACATGGATTGAAAAATCAGAAAAAAAGTCATAATTAAGGATGTGTCCGCAATAAGACCATACAGGAAGTGATAAGGCTCAATTTTGGGATTTCATCCATTTTTGTCTATTGGCTTACCTAGTGCCTAAACATACGTATATAAAATGTTAGAGTGATTGATCCACCCATGGAAATGCTGAGATGGCTTTTCCGGTCTTGAAAATGGTAAAAAAATCTGTAGTTTCACTTGTTTTTTTTACCACCAATTTCAGTACTTAATATCTCATTGATGCGAAGAGTCAACTTATCCAAACTGAGCAGACATATAGATCACTTTATTTTACATCGGTAACAATATTTATCGGTTGTAAAGGGAGATAACTGCGTAAATATTTCAATTTTCTTCAAATTATCGAACATTTGTTGAGTTATTATACTAATGTGCTATGGAAGGATAACGTTGCCAATATTATTTCATTGTTCACGGTGCAAACTGCAAATGTCACTAGTTCACAATACGTATTTTAGTTTTACAATTTACAATTTCCATTGCTCAACAATACCAATGTCACGGTGTTAAAATACAGAATACACTTTTCAATAATACAAAATACAATATAAAAGTTATTTTGCACATTACACTTCTGCATTCTGCATTTTGCATAATAGACAAATGCATATAATAGAACCTTGCATAGTAGAACATATACCTTATATGGGATGTACGACGTACGTCATTTGCATACGGAAAAAAATCCGGACTATGACGGAAATTAATGATTTACGCGATAAATCCATAAGGCCGAGGTCATTAGAAGGGGGCAGTACTCGATTTTGTTAGTCTTCAACGTCCAAGCTCTATACTGTAATCAGTTCGACGATTAGAGGATTCTGAAAGATAATAGTCTGGCTTAACGAGACTATTCTTATTTGTTCTCATTGGTAAAAAAACAGATATTTCAATTGAATCAATTTCTTGTTAAAAATTAAATTGAATATCTTATTTAATTGACAGGTCTCTAAAACCCTTTTTTTGGGTAAGGTTAAAGAATCTTATAGTAACCGAGCGGAATCTCTCACCCGTATTCCAGCACTTGGATTCGAAATGAAGTTAGCATACATATTCCTAGCGCCAATAAAAACCTAGATATAATTATCATGAAAATAATTGTTACCTTTATATTAGAAAATAACATTTTAAGACATATTAATGCAAAGTATATAATAATATGTAATAGACCCCCCCCCCCCCTCCCCCCTCCCCCCAAAGAAATTTGCTGAAATAAAGATCTTGGAGCCACCAAAGCTAGTTCAGAAGTTATTGTGTGTGTACGCAGTGAGCCTACCCTAACTCGATTCCCCACATATTTAGTACGTTTACGGTAATATATCTCCAAAAGCCAGCATAGAAGGCTTCTGGATTTTTGTATTCTCGTCGTTTATTCATCCCTTGACTCTGTGAAATACAAAACATGTTGCCACCAAAGCTCGTTCGGGTGCTTTTTGATGAAACGTGGGCGTACCCCTTGTTTATTGTACCCACGAACCCCGCCTCGAATCTGGGGCTGGGAACTTTTCGGTGGTATAACTCGATACCCCAACATAGAAAGTTAATGAAATTTGGCATGTTCACACCTTATGCATCTGTCGATTTGGTGAAATAAAGATCTTGGAGCCACCAAAACTAGTTTAGAAGTTATTGCGTGCGCAGTGACTCTACCCCTAACACGATTCCCCCATATTTTTAATATGTTTACGGTAATATATCTCTAAAAGCCAGCATAGGAGGCTTCTGGATTTTTGTATTCTAGTAGTTATTCATCCCTTGACTCTGTGAAATACAAAACATTTTGCCACCAAAGCCAGTTTGGGGTGCTTTTTGGTGCAGTGTGGACGTACCCCTTGTTTATTGCACCCGCGAACCCCGCCTCAAATCCAGGTGCTGGGAACTTTGCTGTGGTATAACTCGATAACATAGAAAGTAAATGAAAATTGTCCTGTTCATATCTTATCCATCTGTTGATTTGGTGAAATAAAGATCTTGGAGCCACTAAAGCTATTTTATAAGTTATTGCGTGCGCGATGAGCCTACCCTAACCCGATCCCCCCATGGTTTTAGTATGTTTATGGAGATATTTCTCTAAAAGCCAGTTTAGGAAGCTTCTGAAAATTTGTATTTTAGTCGTTTATTCATCCCTTGATTCCATGAAACAAAAAAACATTTTGCCACCAAAGCTGGTTTCGGTGCATTTTGATGCAGCGTGGACGCACCACTTTTCTGCGCGCTCAGTTAGCCTAGTGTGCGATATTTTAGTATGTTTACGGTAATAGTATTTTTTTTTTCATGGTGGGGGGGGGGGGTCTGTTACTTATATACTTGGCATTAATATGTCGTTTTCTAATATAAAGGTAACAATTATTTTCGTGATAATTATATCTAGGTTTTTATTGGCGCTAGGAATATGTGTGCTAACTTCATTTCGTATCCAGGTGACCATATGGCTTTATCGCGTAAATCATTAATTTCCGTCATAGTCCGGACTTTTTTCCGTATGCAAATGACGTACGTCGTACATCCCATATAAGGTATATGTTCTACTATGCAAGGTTCTATTATGCATTTGTCTATTATGCAGAATGCAGAAGTGTAATGTGCAAAATAACTATTCTACTGTATTTTGTATTATTGAAAAGTGTATTCTGTATTTTAACACCGTGGCATTGGTATTGTTGAGCAATGGAAATTGCAAATTGTAAAACTAAAATAGGTATTTTGAACTACTGACATTTGCAGTTTGCACCGTGAACAATGAAATAATATTGGCAACGTTATACTTCCATAATGTGCTGCTATTTGACGATATTAGGTTTGTATTTTATAATATTTGATAAGTATTTGGTAGTACTGGGTTATTATTTGCTTGTTACGGGTGATATAGAGAGGCAAATGAAACAGCCAGACATCGGACCAACATTAGAAGACCAATAGGACCAAGTTTAGAAGACCATTCGGACGAATAATAGAAGACAATTCACCACTAAGACAGAAGACCACTCCTAACAAAACCACTCGGGCCAAGACAGAAGCCCATTTGGACCAAGACCACTCAGACCTTGATTAGAAGACCACTCGGACCAAGATAAGAAGACCACTCAGGCCGAGATTAGAAGAGCATTGGGACTAAGATAAGAAGATCACTCGGGCCGAGATTAGAAGAGCATTCCGACTACGATTAGAAGACCACTCGGGCCAAATTAAAATAAACGACTACTCAATATATTGTTATTTATTTATTTAGAAGACCAATCGTTGATCAGCCATGCACCCAAGCAATGTTTTCTTGAATTTTTGTTGTTGATGGCCTTCATCGTCAAGGCTCTCTCATTCATGCTTAAATTAAAGAGGCATCAACCCCTAAAGTGGAGACCATGTGTTGGGGTTAGTCCTTTCAGTTGCTGGTACTTGATAACTGTCCTATAGCCAGTTTTGTAGTATTTCAATTGATAGGTTCACAAGATGGCCTGGTACGAAGACAATAATAACACTATAGTTGTAGTTCTTATGGCTATGATTCATTCAATGATGATACTTGTTGGTGGCAAACGTTTGTTTCAACCCAATTGATCTATTCTGATCTAGGCTTAGAACTTTTCAGACCGTCATCATATCATAAACTTATAATACAACTCAACCTAATATTTTGGTTAACAAATATTATCTTTATTATATTTTACGGGTAAGTATTTTTGCATATTTGATTTAACCGATGAATGTTTTTGAAAAAGGCCAACTCAAACCACATAAGAAAATATTAACGTGAATAACGTTGTTATTAAAAGGCTCACCAAACTATAAAACATTGATAGAAAGAAAAGACGAAAAAATGAAAAACTAATTTAAAGTTCTTATTTCGCTTAAAGATACTTTCTCAGAAAAGTATTTATGGGGTAGTTATTTCCAATAAAAGTATGGCAATTGTGGTATATATGGAAAGTAGAAACATCCAATCTTACTAGAAAAATACTGGATTTCCTGAAAAACACCCATGGAGCGCATACGGGAAAAAAAAAGAAGGGTTTCCCTAACCGGCAACCCGGGTGACGTCAAAGGTTGAACGCGAAGATTGTCGGATCTCTCAGCGTTAGTAAGCGCTTGATTTATATGTTGATAAACTTGATGGCGAGCGGACAAGTAAAAAGGGAGAGACTTAAACGTACAACATTTTCTGAGATAAAAATCGCGGGAAAAGATGTGGACAGTGGATAATCCGAGAATTTAATTAGGCTTCAATATTTATGATAAATGGACAGCGATTAAAGACAACATCGTCTTGTATATGCAATGAATTCTCCTAGTTTCTCACCCATTGCTGTGGTACTGTGGCGCACTTTTTACTTCTTCTTCTTCTGTCTTTCGCCACGAAATGGTGTAGCGGTTTGGTAGTGTGGGGAATCTGCCGCAATGGTTGCTCAGGACCCACACCCGTTAATTTTTCTGCCACCAGTGATCTATTGGCCGATCACAAGCCGTTTAAAGTAGAGCTTCTTCAGAGGAGAAGGCGGACTAGCTAAAAAGTAGTTGTGCTATGTTCGGCTCTCTCTCTTCGAACAAATGGAAGAAAACTGTATAAAACTATAAAGTTTTATTATGTATTATTTATAACATATATACAGGTAAGTTTTAATGGACTGGGAAAACTCTTTTATACTATTTATAAAGAGGCGAACTGTCCCAGCTCAAGCCGTTCTGTGTAATAGCTAAAAGCTATACTGTTCATTAACTGCAAGCAGTTAAGGCTGTAACTTTGCATTAATCACAAGCGTTTAAAGTCTGTATCTGTTCATTAGATGCAAACATCTAGAGGTTGTATCAGTTTTTAAACTGCAAGCAGTTTAAAGTCTGTTCATTAGATGCAAGCATCTAAAGGCTGTGTGCTTAAAGAGCATTCCTCAAGAACTATAG